TAAATAATCTTATAATAGTAAAAATTTAAATAAATCAAAGTCCAAAAGCTTCCCTCATTCTCTCATTCCCTCATCAAACACCCCCTTAAAGTTCATCATATGCAAAAATACTCAAGAATATTATCGGCTGCAAGAAAAAGTATTTTGAAAGTAATTTCAGATGATACCAAATTCTAAAAGACTTGTTGATATTATCTAACACACTATTTTTATTCACCTTCATGAAATGTATATAACATATGAAAGCTTATTACCATGAAATTTTTGTGAATCTCGTACATATAATTAGTTATTTTAAATACAAAAATATTTTACAGGATAAATTATATATTAAAAGCATACTCTACTCTATAAATTTAATAACATACCCTTACTAAAAATATTTTTATATTATTTATTAATGATATTTTAATAAATTTATAGAATATACTACACTTTTAATATATAATCTGTCCTATAAAACATGAATCTCTATTTTAAATATCCCAACGTAATGAACTGCTTGATATCCTAATGACTTAAAAAAAAAATTATTAAGAGAAAAGAACAAATTAAGATGTACTAATATTTAAAATGATAGAATGTTTAATAATAATCATATGATAAATTTGTTGAGAGATGAATTTGCATGGCTACGTAACTAATGACATGAGCGAGACCACATCATTGAAGGACCACAATACTTATCCTTCCACATCCGATGTGTGATTCCAATTTTCTACTAATTGCTACTGTGGAATCAACATCGCCAGAACGGAGCACTTATTTGCTTCATTGGAAATATCGCGAAATGTAACTCACTCCAGCATCTATCTCCACACACATGGCCAGACATGGCTAAGTCTATTTTGGTGACATGGCTGGGTGCTTCTTGACAGCCATGTCATTTACAACAATGTTCTTTGCTGTATCTCACAGTTCCCAACAATGGACAAAAAGCCTATTTTGCTACCTGGCTCCCATCAAAGGACAACGGGCTGATCTATATAACTCCCAACGATAGACAATGGGCTGATCATCCACTCCTATATATCTTTATCATTGGTTCCCATCAATGGACAATGGGCTGATCATATTACATTTACACAGCTCCCAGCGATGGATAAAGGACCAGATTTGCTACATATCTATCCCACTGGCTCCCGAAAATGGACAAAGAGTCAATGCAACTTGGTATGATTAGCGTGAGGCCAATAACAATTGCAACCCTACAATCGGACAAGATGGCTACCCCCTAGCAATGAAAATCCATCAAGTAGCGACCGACGGTCCCTTGGTGGTCGCCCGTGCATGGTGGTGCCATAGCTAGTGGGCAACAACAACCAAGACCCCTCTGACGGTGCGGGTACGGCAAGAAGGGCCAGCGTCAGTGGTATCACACCTTGTTGTATTG